GGTGGTGGAGCTTAAGACTATTCTTGAAAATAAACAACTCAAGTGGTTTGGTCACATTTGTCGGATAGATGATGAAAGTGAACCTCGAAAAGCGATAGAAGCTAGAAAAAGAAGGGAGGAAACCAAGACGCCGTCTCAGAATTTCTTACCAAGATTAAATACAGCGGATTTGAAGAAAGAGAGCAAAACTCTCTTAGAAATGAGACAGCTTGACCGGGACCGAGAGGCGTGGCTGTATTGGATCGAGGCTCCTCGACGCTATAAGTGACAAATAAACATCAGAAGTAGACAAATAATAAGAAGAACTATGCCCAGGAAATTATTAAATCAGTCAAGTCCAAATCGTGGCATGTTCTTGAAATATCTCAGCAAAATCAATTGACGTATGAAACGAAGTCCATAAACTTACCAAAAATCTATCTCTTTCTAGTTACACTATTTTTGTTAACGGTTATTTGTCAAAAGTTCTTTGCTTATTTCAAGTAAATTTAGTCCGTGATACAGACCCCTTTTTATCAAATTATTAACATCAGCCTGAAACTGCGTAAATAGCTTTATCCCATCGTAACCTAAAACTATTTAATTAATGAAAATTCTTGAAATTGGAATGTTTTCAATATGGAGATCAGCAAACTTTGTCTATTTAAATAGGTACTAAAAACTCGTAAATACACAATTACTTACCACTTCAACCGTAGGATAATTTAAGCATAAACTCGAGAAAAAAAATTGGCCTTCAAAAATATTGAGCTGTTTGGCGTGACTTACACCCCAAAATAACAAGGTTATATAGGCCAAACGGCCAAATATTTTTGTAGATCACCGTCTTTATTTAATTTGTGATCAAATTATCTTACGATGCAAGTGCAAAGCAAATTGCTATTTACGAATTTTTAGTATTTAATTAAATAGACAAACTTTGCTGATCTCCCAAATACCAGGAGTTTTCGCAAACAAAATATTTGTAGGTTACGATGAGATGAAGCTATTCACGAAATTTTAGGCAGATGTTACTAATTTGATAAAAAGGGGTCTGTACTACTGACTACTTTGCCGATTCTTTTTTACTTTCAATTTGCTTTGTCTGGAAATAATTATTTCTGCTAAGAGGGTGATAAGTGAATGTTGTGTGATCCACGCATCGCACCAGATATTTTAAGATACTTATAACTCATAAATAAATAGTACCGACCCGATGTATCAAGCTTCAATTATATGAATAGGATTAGGTGCAGATAACGTTTATTACATGTTCTACTGAAAAGTGGATATTTTGATTTAGTTTTTGACAACTCGAAAAATGTATATTTCGAGACTTTATCAAGAATATCATTTAGAAAATAATTGTATTGTTAATATATCTTTAAAAAACAATTAAGCAGCCCGATATTACCACTTTTTAAGTTTGATATTTCTCAGAAGTGGTAAAGAAATAAGTGCTTGATGAAGAAACATTTCATTGGCACGAGAGAAGTAATCGTTGTCAAGTAGTCATATTTCTGATAAAACTGTAGACATCTCTTTATTTTTTCACAACCCAGTAACATTCGATCAATTTGTTTCTTCGAGTGGTTCAATTGATAAGTGGTACATACTCCAGAAATGAGATATTTCTCTAATATTTTTTTAACTTATTATATTTATTTATTTTTTTATTGAAAATATTACAATCTACCACAAAGGACATTTGTAATAGTGTTCAGAGATCACATTCACACTCTATGTATAATAATAATAATATATGTACAATAAATAAGCATAAAATAATCTGAAAATAAATAAATAAAAATAACACAAACATACCTATATACACTATTTACAATCAGGCGAGAGAAATCCGAGCCAAACTTGTCCCTCCAACTGTGGAGGGAAATCATGACTTCAGAAGATCTCTGCACTTCTCTCTCATCCGCGTCACTGGGGCTAAGCCCAGTGGAGATTGAGCGAGGGAGCTTTAGCCACATAAACTCATGTCGTAGTGTTGCCCAAATGCGAGACCGAGACGAGTCTTAGTCTTCAAACTTACTCTTGGCCATGGTCTTGGTCTTGCGCAAGAGTCTCGGAACAGTCTTGCAGTTACTTATTAGCTTATTACTATAAAGATATTACTGTAAGTTTTTAGATCGGAGAAACCTAAGTAAGCCCGAATGAAAAATTAGAGGAGTTAAATGCAAAAGTATTATTGGTTATACCAATTATTAACATATAGTAACTAAGATTGTCGGGTATTAGTAACTATCTTGCCATAATTTTTATTTTAAAAATCGATTTGTTTTTACCTGTCCTGGTCTTGGTCTTGCACTTTGCAGACCAAGACCGATTTTGGGGAACACTAGTCGTGAGTGGAGAATCTGGCCATTACCAGAACTCCAATATTTACAAATTACAAAAGGTTCCGGAGCCAATGCTGATTTAACCTTCTTGGAGGATTTTAGGGATGGGTGGTGCTGGATAATGATTGTGCAAAGGGATTCAGATGATAGGTAAGGTTTTGGTAAAATTTGGAGAATTTTGCTGTGATAAGGTCTAGGACAAATGCGATATTAAGGTCACGGTGTAAGGTTTTGTTGGTTACATAGAAAGGAGCATCGACCATTGTTAGAAGGATTTTGGACTAGAAGGATTGGATGTATTTTATGTTTGAAAATTTTGCTGTTCCCCACAGTTCAAGTCCGTATGTCCAAGTAGGTTTCAGTATTGTCTTGTAGATAAGCATTTTATTTTCTATAAAATGTTTAGATTTCCTATTTAGTATTCTGTATAATTGGCCATATCATCGGTTAAGTTCCTGTCTTTTAAGTCTAGTATGAGGATTCCACGTTAATCGTCTGTCTAAGCGAAAACCAAGATAACGAACTGTATCTGAGAAAGAAAGCTGGATAGAATAAAGTGTTCTGGTGAACATGAACTGCGTCGGAATGTGAATGCGATATGTTGGCGTTCTATAATAATTAAATTACTCTACCATACAAGATGCAGAATCGGCTAAATTAAAAATAAACATTGCGGAGATCCATGGAAATCAATTAGCAGTATTGTCGGTCATGATGAGAAACAATTATTAGATTGATACGCGTGCGGCGTACAGTAGGCTGTTATAGCACTGTTATAGCAACTATTCGGACAAAAATAAAAATGAAAAAGGAATTTATACGTAACATTAAGAATTAATAAAAAAATTCATGATATGATGTGAATAAAATATATTTATAAAAATTCAATTATGTTTCTCTTATGAATTTTGAAAACGGAATTTTGATTAGGTCGTCTGATTTTATTAAGCTAATTTGAAAAATAAATTCATAAATTAATTTTGTAGTAAACTTTAAAGATGTTTTTTAAGTTTCGCTACAAATGTGTATATATATATATATATATATATATATATATATATATATATATATATATATTGAAGGAAGTTAGTCGACTGTTCTACATATCATGTCAGGAAGCAGTCTTTATTTAAATACAAAAAAATTTAAAAAGACTTCATCCTGAATATTTATCACCCATTATATGTATATATATATATATATATATATATATATATATATATATTATATATATATATATATATATATATATATATATATATATATATATATATATATATATATACATGCAGTGGTGTATATATGTTTATATACACCATATAAAGTTCTTGCCTTGACTTCCCTGACTATTTGCTTGGCAATGTTTCTCAATTTTCGTATTCATCTCTACATGCTTTGAATTTATTCTGCCTATATAGACTCCATGCTTCTTTCTTATCTTTTATTGCTTTTTCCACTTGGTCATTTCACCATCTAGTATTTTTGGTCTGAGGATCTGATCAGCAAAATCAGTCGATGATCGATTCCTAACTCTTCACCTGTAATTGATTTTACACCTGTAAAATATCTATATATTCTTCTGCCATAGATAATTTAATCTATTATGCTTTAAGTCTCCTTACCTTCTGCTTAGAACTAATTTTATATTATGTGTGATATAAAATAGTTATAACTATTTTAACTTATGTGTGAATTGAGAATTCCCAATAAACATATCATTCTCTATGCAGAATTTTATCAATCTTTGGAAATTATCATTTTTAACTTCTTCACCATTCCATAAACCTATTACTCTATGGGATTTAACGTAGTCCTGGCATTAAAATCTCCACAGATAACAACTATTTTGTTCTCGTTTTGCGCACTCAGTCTTAGTCTTGCGTTGCCTAAGATTCTCGCACCAGCATTGCAGTTACCTATTAGCTTATTATTACAGAGATATTACTGTATTTTTTCAAATGGAGAAACCTAACTAAGCCCGAATGAAAAATTGGAAAAGTTGAATAAAGTTAAAACTATATTGGATATACAAATTCTTTACAAATAGTAACTAAAATTGTCCGGTATTATTACCTATTTTGCCTTAATTTTTATTGACATCGATTTTTTATTTACCAGTCTCATTCTTGCAACAGACAAGCGGTTTCGGTCAAAACTAACTACTATCAGTATTGTTTTCTTACTATGCACTAAATAAGTAATCTATTGGTATCCAATAACCCAAAAATCCGGATAAAGCAAAGATAAAAAGTTTTGTAAATTTTAATTTTAAAAAACATTAACATAAATTTTGTTCGTAATTATATTAAAAAATTAATCCGACGGTTCAATTTTTTATGGAAAATAATGAAATTATTTTATTATAATGTTTTTCTAAACAATGCTTTTTTATAATAGAATATTTATCACTTCCTTCTCCCCCAACCAAACATAACTTTTAATTAAATCTTTAGTCAGCTACTGGATGAGAATATTATTTGATTATGTTTAGTTATTTCACTAATGTATAAGGACGTACAAATTTTAAAAGTAAATCAATAATATTTTAAGTAATATATTTCATCTCTTTGGAAACTACTTCAGATTTCATTGATATCTTACACTCTTTATCGCGATTATCCCCTCTACTACTTGTATATGTACGTTTATATATATATAGGAACCTGTATGGCATACAGTAATCAGAAGTCAGTAACAATGGCTATACTCTTCTTATTGGTTACCATCGTCGGCTGTGTTTTTGCCAGACCTTCCAGTGATAATGTGAAGCCAGTAAGTAACAAATATAACTGTATATTAATATAATATTTGTTTGTACATGTATGTTTAGTGTGTAGCTGCTGGTTTATGAGAAGTCAAGAAAGATTAAATTTAATTATGTTTCGTTAGTATCTACTAGCCGTATTTAAAAATGATACCGAATATATAGATTAACATGATTTTGGTAGATCATTACTCATTAAGTAGTTATTATCGAAATAGATAGAATAAAAAAAATAGTTAAATATAGCATTGCTTAATAATAATGATAAAGATATAAAATTTGATAGAATTGTATTGTTAAGAATTTGAAGTTGATTAAATAAATGTGAAATTTATAAATACATTAATAGAATCAAATGTAACATTGTTAATGTATTTGTAGTTGAATTGGAATACATCATTGAATTATTCATTTTCAATTAAATAAATAACTACGAATAGTTTTTGTCATACGAAAAAGTCCTTGTTATTTTATTTAAACATATAAAAGAATTTTTTAATTTACTCTCGTCAACTGTAAAGCTTTATAACGGGGAAACAAGGGAATCAGATTTTCTAGGCAGCCGTTAGGGTTTGTTATGTAAGTAGTTAACAACATTTTTAGATACATGGAAGAAATTCTCACAAGCTGTAGGATTAGATCTTCCTACAGGTATCAGTACCAGTAGTGGTTTCTGGACATTAGAAATCACATTTTATGCTAACTCATGATTAATTTATTTAATGATATTTTTAATTAATAAATAGTTTAACTGAGAGAATTAAAGCTTTTTATCAAGATCTTCCAATAATACAATAACACTTGCGCTATCTGCCCTGACTCAACTTGAAATAATTATAAAGTTAAAATCAGTTAATTCAAGAAAATATAAAAAGATGTCAAATTATTTTGGCTTATCTTACTGAATTTTTTTTTCTTTAAACATAATAATTTCAGAATTATTTTAAATGAAAACTCAAAATAAATAGAACTACCTTAGATATATGGAAGACCACCTTCCACGAAGCCCCAATCCCATCTGCAATAATTCAATCAGTGTATCCTCTACTTTTCATATTTTCAAACTTAGTCTAGCATGGCTCATGTAGAAATTCACACCACTTATAGTTTTAAAAATACTTCAACCAGAATGTAATTTCAATTTCAATAAACGTACAAGCTTTTCACTAACGAATGGACAAGTCGAATCGTTATCTTAAACAGCTCTCATAACTATAATTTCAGTCAACCATTACGTTATCAATGAAAACGTGTGAATTTTTCGAAGCCGTTATTTTTTTTTTTAGCTTTTTTCGTTTTTATTTCTACAACAAAACAAAAAGTCTCAGAGACGATATCCGTCTAAATATGCCTGTTTTTAATTTCCTTTTTTTGAATTATTTGAGTTTTTTTTTTTATGAGCGTGTGCGAATATCTTATTGTTATCCCATATAATTTATTTTTATTTATTGTAAATACGGTGCGAACGATTTTTGTTATCAATATGATTAATGACCTAAATTTTAATAAATAATGCCATATAATTCAATGGAGAAAAAAAAGAAGAGAAATAAATAGAATGTGGACTTAAATTACAGGTGTTATTTACCTGGAATGGATTATTTGTTTCTTTTATTTATTTAAAAGGACTTGAAATGAATAATTTATCAAACATGAGAAAAATATTTGATAGGTGGCTATCGTTTGTTAGATGACAAGATGAATAGGATTAAAAATAAATAATATACTAAAACTAATTCTTTGTTTTATTTTCAGGTTGAAATTACTCTTTACTACGAGACCTTATGCCCTGGATGTCAGCAGTTCATCACAAAAGAACTGTTACCTGTTTACACTGAAACCGAGTATGATTTCGCCTCTCTAATTTCAAAAATTGAGTTGGTTCCATACGGTTTGGTGTTCACTGTAAGTATTAGTTCTAATAAATGATTATTTATCAATTAATATGTAACATCATATCGGAAATAAAGTTCTTTAGATTAGTGTGTTAAAACTAACATAGTATATATTTTATATATGACTTTAGATTAACCAATAAATGGTTTTTGAGGGTGCATATTAAATTTATTGTAATGTTTTCAAAAATTAATGTTTCTGAGATTTATTAATCCATTTAATATCGGTTCTTCATCTATTAGTCAACATTTCGAACTCTGCAACCATCTTCCTGACCCTCAAAGTAGTATTCATTTTAATAATGAAAAATAAAAAATATATCACAATAAAATAATTTTTATGTTTTGACTTCAACTTAAATCGTTAGACAATATTCTTGATTTCAGTCAACCATATCTCAATAGAACAATAAAAAAAAATTGATATGTTTAATTCCCTCTTGTAAAATGTTTAAAAAAATCAACAATTTTATACAGACTGTTCAAACTTTTATTTTGATTTCATTAATTGAAGGTGGGTTGTTGCTGTAATTTTATTCATTTGTCATTATTGAGAATAGTTTTAATGACCTATTAATTTTTTTTCCAGTTAAATGACACCCATCATTATGATTGTCAGCATGGTCGATCCGAATGTGATGGGAACAAGTTACATGCTTGTGCCATCAACTATATTCCTGACACATTAACAACATTAAATTACATTTCTTGCTTAGAACACGAGACATCATCTAAACATTTTAATCCTCGTGAGCATAAATATCCAATTGACAAGGTAAGTGTTAAGAAACAATTCCTATATAAAAAGAAGTTTGCCGAGTAAGCTCAGTATAGCTTCCTCACCGTTTCATTGGCTAAAATATATCTATTACAAGGTAAACAATTATCGTATGAGAATAAAATCTATGGGAGAAGCCGATCCGAAAATCCAGTTACCCTTTAACATTCTCGGGTTCGATATCCACAAATTTAGTTTATCAGCTAGTATTAAAATGCGAAAGAGTGGCATATTTGAAGATTCCATATTGATTATTCTAAAAAAAAAAAAATACCTATGCATACTGACCATGCATTTCACTACTAATAGTGCAAAAAGTCATATGCAAAAAACTCATTATTTCTGTATGCTTTATTGGCATAATTTCATATTTTATGGTCCTCTGCTATTTTCCATCGTAGCAGACTGCTTATATCAGTTGCATGCTACAAAATATCACCTTTAGCACAAATTGCAAAAAAGTTGAAAATTTTTGCATACGACCTTTTGCACTAATAGTAGTGATATATACTTAATAGGTACATTTCAGTTCATAAAATGGACGGAAATAGAGAATTCATTGGAAAAATTCAGCTTGTTGTTTGTTAAAACTAATTAAGCTTGAATATAAAAATATGGGTGAAGTTCATACAACTTCGATATTTATCGAGAAAATCGAGACCAAGACGAATTGATTAAACTCCAATGGAAATAAACACAATCACAAATAAGACTTTTTTGGGGGAGAGGGGGGAGTGGTATAAATTGAGAGTAAAAATTACTTTAAATTTACAGAAAATTACACGAAATTTAAGTAAGACAGTAAGTGTCATGCCAATAATGTTTGAAATCGACCAAACAATACAGCATCAATTAATTTTTTTTAATAAAACCTCATTATAACCCCATAACAATATTGTAATAACCTAACTCCATATGGTCCCAGTGCCTTCAACATTGCATAGCCATTATATTGTTAACAATTATTTTTATTATCAAATGGAATTCAATGAAATTGATGCTAAGTAATTTCTTTATTGTTCTACAGATTTCCTGCAAGTTTGGGTCAAATGGAATGCCCCATTTTCAAAATATAGGCATATCAAATTACACATCTCCTGATCTAAAAGAAGAAGTATTTTTTAAGGGAGTAGTAGATAGAATTTGATTCGTTTACGTTTAGCAATCCATAAATTCCCTCCAAATTTGAGCCAAATCGAACTTGCGGTTTTAGAGATATAGACGTATCTCTAAGGAAAACACCTTTGCGCATATATAAGAGAAAGCAATGGACAGAATTCAATAAAATTGATGCTACATTATTTTGTCACTATTACCTCCCTTTTAAGCAACTTTGAACCAAATCGAACGAGCATTTTCTGAAATATTGGCAGATCTACAAAAATGCGTTTGCGCGATCTTAAGCGGAAGTGCTGGTTAGAATTTAATAAGATTTATACGGGACCCTCTAGACACTAACACACACAATTCCTAAAAATTTCATGAAAATCAGATAAATATTGACTATATTTTAATTAATGAAAATGAATGTTTTTTTGGAGCCTGTGTACTTTTTATTGAAGCGCGAATAGAAGAAACGGATAAATAGGAAGTTAAACCAAGCATTTGACATTTAAATTTTATAAAGCAGTAGAAACCTATATTATTTTCTAAGAACTATTGAAAGCATGCCGGGGAGCTACAGTTTAGTATATTTTAGATATATGTTGGTTAAAAAAAATACGGGAGAATGAAAAAAAGACATAAGAATATAAAGGACGTATTTTTATTCTGATTCACCTGAAGGGGTCCGAAACGAGTTGTAATAACAATACAGTAATCTAACTCCTTCCGGTGCGTTAAAAAATATTCAAATTAATTCTAACTAGTCGAATCTCGGAATGTGGCAAGAAACTTCTCAAAGACAACCAATATAGTTTTAGGCATAACTATATTGCTTAAATATTTTTCCTTAAAACCAATATTACATACAAAAAAAGAGTACACTGTTATGCTTTATCAGCTTTATATTTATTTCAATAAGGCTCATTATTCCATTCTATAAAATTTTTATATATAAAACTCTAGATCAGCAAGGCATTCGAAAAATTTGTAAGGATGTGCATGACTTAAAATTAAATTAAAATCATCAATTGTTTTTCCGTAAAGTTTGAGGTCCATTTGAATTTAAAAGAAGTTTATTACATTTCGAATGTTCTATTTAATCAAGCGTTAGAACATACTATTAGGGAGTCAATGCGTGCCAAAAAATGTTTTAATTTGGTTGTAAAAATGCCCATGCTGGGGTATGTAGATAATTCGTTACCATTCAAAGCCTATGAAACTAATTACAGCAAAATGAATAAGATCTTTGGCTTGAAACAAATACGGATAAAACAAAATATTAGGTCTCTCCAGAAAGTGCGATGATCTCGGGTATAAATATTGAAGGGAATATGTTTAAATATATCTGAACGATATCAAGAAAAACGAAATTGAAAGATAAAATAATATAATATATAATAGTACACTTTTTATCAATTAAAAAATAAAAATAAAATAATGACTTTTTAAATATCATTCATGTAAAGTTATTATTTTGGAGATTAAACATTTTATTGAGAAATATTACAATCTGTCACAGTTAAGGACACTTATAATACAGTTCAGAGAGTACATTCATACCGTATAAACAAAATATAAATAAATAAAGTAATATCAAAAAAATTAGAAAAAAGAACAAAAGAGAAAATAAAAAAATATATACACATAAGTAAGTAAAAATAAAGTGATTATAAACTGTTTTTTTTTTTTTACAATAACAGGAATTTATTCGTTTTTATAAATAATAATTTTAATATTTCTAACCGTAATATTTATGTATTCATGAAAATAATTGAAGCAATCAGATGGTTTATTTATTTTAAACCCTAATTTTAGCACTAATAATAATAATAATATTGTCTCTAATTCATACGGATAAATTCCTATGACAGAGAAAAATACATTTTTATATCCACTTCACATAAAAAATATTTGAAAAAATCATCATTTTTATAAATAAAATGTTTATATAATCAATTATGTTTATTAGAATATATTTTAGATCATGGAAAAAAAAAAAAAAAAATCTTTGTAACAGTTAATAGTAGTCATGTTTTCTAAAAACAGGACACTTTTACCTGACAGGATAAATTATTTATTCAATATTAATTATTTTAATAAAATATTTCTTTCGTTATCGCCTCCTATTCAACAAAAAACGCGCCTCACTTAAAAAAAAACACAACGTGTGTTTCAGACTTTTCTGCTTAATATTAGGCCATTGTTTATGTGTCTTTTTTTTTTTGTAGTTCTTAAGGTCTGCTATCACTCATATGAAAATTTCTCTCTGCTTACGGGATATCCTGTATATAGATCATGTCCTTATCAACCAAATCTTCATTTTCTCTTACAATTATTAGACATCTATTATAAATTTTTTAATAATTTTATTAATTTATTTTACACATTTTCAGTGCCAAAATAAACTCCCAGCAGGTATTTACCCAAAAATAATAAACTGTTACAACTCAGATGAAGGATGGGAATTATTCGATATATATGGAGAAAAGACATGGCCATTTTTGCGTGATGGTTTTGTTCCATATCTCTCATTTGATGGCGTAAGTGTACACTTACATTTACTTAATTATACTTTTTTTTTCTAATTTATGAGGATTTAATTTTAGACAAGTTTTGGTGTTGCTAATGATTTGGTATAAAACCATCTCTTGCCATTAATGCTATGATTTATTCTAGATATTTCTTTAATCCGAAGTTGAACTTTCATGATTATAGAATAGCTATAAATATTTTTTAATTTTAATGTTCCTCCGTTTTAGAAACGTGATGACGATCTGGCTAAAGAAGGAATTGAGAAATTCAGGAATACATTGTGCAAAGTTACTGGTGTTGTTGACAAAGCTTGTTCTTGAGCAAGGAACAATGAATCTTGCTAGATTTCAGAAATATGGTCAATTTTATTAAAACATTCTTGGCAATAATACAGGGATGTATTTACTGCAATGTTTAACACTCAAAGGAATAAATATATTGCATAAATGAGGAAATAATTGTCTTCTTTATTACTTATTCACGAAAACATTTTCTTCTTCTATCTACCGTCAGCTTTACTTGTATTTTAGTCCATTTTTATAACCCTGATTCTATTATGATGAATAACAGCAAAATATTTTTATAACATAAAAAGAACAAGAATTATAACATAAAATTAACAAGAATTTTTAACATAAAAAAAATAATGTGTCAAAATTTTGATACATGCATACAAAAATATCTCACTTCAAATGCCCTACTACAACTTAATATAACTGAAATCAGCAAGAATTTTTATATCCAACGATAAATTGATATTCCAAATGCAGGGTAAATCAAAAAGAGGAAGGAAAAAATACACACAAAAAAAAACAGTAAATCTCACAGAAGAGATATCCCAAAGCAATAATTGTAAATCATTGTAAACACGAATTGTTAATAATGTTACAAAAATCATTTCATTCAGTATCACTTCCATTCAATTTCCACAAACTGTTGCAGTCAGATTCCACCGATGTTTCATATTCTTAATTCGTAATGAACGCTCGCCAAAAAATCGTTCAATAGATAAACAATACCTCTTGAATATTTTCCACCAAATGCTCGTTCTGTTTTTTTTTTCTGTGGAACCTTAACGTACATAATCCTTTATGAGGATCCCAAAACATTAACATGCAAGATAGCACTTTATAGATCTGTCTAATCTCCTCATAATCAATAACGGATAACCTGCTTTCATCAATTCTAACAGAACAGCTTTGTTCTATTCAGTAATACTTACAAAAAAAGTCTGTAAAGAAAATACTAATACAGTAGCGATTAGTTTCCACTACTTATCAAATTTAGTACCTATTTAACAGGCATAAAACGAAGATAGTTACATAGCCGAGCTGAGAGTCTATAGTGAACTGGGGGACAAGACTTGTGCCGAAGAGTGAAGGTGATATGTGTGGACTCCGATTAATGTTCATCGATGCGCAACTTATTACAGCAGTGTTCAATAAGGAAAAGGATACTTTGTAGGTTTAGGGTTGCAGTTATGCTCTGAAAATCGGACGATAGATAGTCAACATCTCCATGTCCTTGTTGGGCAGTGAGATATTGGAAATGAAATCCGTATTCGGGGGTAGGATTCGCTTTAGTACAACCTTTTAAAAGATTTTTGAAAGGATTGTCAGTATGCTTAATGGTCTATACGATTTGTGTTAATGGAAGGTTTAACTGGTTTCAGAAAACAGATGATGGTGGAGTGTTTCCATAAGGTAGGCCAGTGGGTAGTTCGTAACATACAATTGTATCTATATGTGAGGAATATATTTGCTTTCGATGTATGTTGACCAAGGCTATATGGAGTTAAGAGGTCATATCCAAACGATTTAAGGGAAGATATTTTTTTGTAAATAATGTTTGATCACAGAAGAATTGATCTGCTTTTGGTGGTAAGCCGAGTGTGATATATGAAGAACAATTTAAGTAAGTGAAATTTCCAGAGCACAACCAAACGCCATTTTATTTTTTTAAATTATACAGGTCGTTAATTGGCTGTTTGAATTACATTTGATTTACTTTAAAACGATTCACGATAGTTAAGTGAGAGCGATAGGTCTCATATTATTTACTGATTGTGTTCTTGATTAATATTCTTGTTTTATACTTAATTATGTCGTTTATTTATTGTTCAGAGTTCTTTAGATCATTTTCTAGTCAATAAGTATTGGTTTAGTATTTTGAGTTTTTGTTTATTTTTATTAACTTGTAAAGTGTGAGGTTAGGAGTGGAAGGTAAGTTTTTACTACCTTGAGAGGTGTTTCTTAGTGAACTATTTTAACTGAGAACAGTAAAGACAATTAGGAAGAAAGGCCAAGTAAAATTGGCGGGACAATGCTTGTAAAGTGAACTTGGTAAGTATAAACACTTTATCATTGTTTACTCATTTATTGTTTCCTTCTTCCTCCCATACCTCGAGCTAGCTTAAGCCAATCTCTTGCTTAAAGTACTTGAGAAACTTTTGTAAAGTTAACGATATTGTGGATACAGTTATTTTTCAATTTTTATTGTTAATGTGAAAGGTTATAGGTTAGTAATAAAAGTATCATATAAACTCTCCATCTGATAGCAATATAGTAACTTTTGCTGTGCTTACAAACATGGACCTTTCCACGGAAAGTTTTGTGATGAAAGGACAGCAAGAGGATGGTAAGCATTCCAGGCCATTGGTTAAAAGATCTCGAAAGGCTTCTCCAGATATTTTAGATACAGTGGATGCGGCTATAAATAATAGCAACTTTCACAGTGCCAAAAAAAAATCAGGAAAATATTAAAGTATCCTTAGATAAAATTGCAAAAAAAATAGTGCCAGTGTTCGAGATCATATTAACAATGAGATACAATTGCTTGTTGATATGATTGAAACACTAGAAAGGGATAAGGACCAAGGCGGTGTATCAGCCATTGTCCACAGAGTGGTTAATGAAGCACTTTCATCTTAGAGAGAGCTCTACAAGGCCCGGCGTTTGTACCAGCGGTGTGGTTGCGATGAGAGGCGCACTACTCTTCGTGACGAGTACAGGTCTAAAGCCAGAGTATACCGAAACGAGGTGCGTCTACATTAATGGAAGTCTTGGGATGAATTTATCGTTGAGGAATCATCAAAAAACCCCTGGGGTATCCCGTACAAAGTAGCCTTGGGGAAATTGTCTCCAATGCAAGTAATCGCCGCGATAAAGTATGAAGGTACTCAGGCAAAAACTCCAGAAGAATCGGCGAAGATGTTTATTACAGAGACTTACCCCAGGGATGATCCATCCCAAGATAATGAAGAGGAGGAGTTCGTAAGACGCACTACGGTATACCCTCCCGGCACGGACCTGTGCCCACCATGGGACATATGTTATCTTCGCGGACAAGCAAAAGACTGGCCATGCCCCTGGTTTAGACACCATTGACGCTGCAATTTTCAAGAACTGTATTCCATATATAGAAGAAAGATTGCTGGCTGTTTTTCATGATTGCCTAGACAGGGAATACTTCGCAAGAATCTAGAAAATCGCTAACGTCAAGCTCATTTACAAAGGAGGAGATAAAGACAAGCTATTAGCCAAATCTTATAGCCCTATATGTCTCCTCCCATTCATGAGCAAGGTGTTAGAAAACCTGATACTCACCAGCCTACGGCCAGTCTTCTCGAGAGCGAGCCATCCACGGCAGTAGGATCCTCTAAAGGCAGGAGAACCGCAGATTCCCTGCTGAGAGTGCGCCGTGATGTTGAAGAGAAGGCGGAGAATTATGTTATACTCCTCCTGTTTGACATATCATCCGCCTTCGATAGCGTCTGGTGGCCGAGCGTACTCCAGCAGTTGCAAAGGTATGAAGCTCCCAGCAACTTGTATGACTTGATCAGAAGCTATCTCCACGATAGGACATTGAAGATTAAAGGTAGCTTCTATGAAGTAGAAGATACAGTGGAAAAGGGTTGTCCACAGAGCTCTGTCCTTGGCCCTGGCCTATGGAAACTGGCCTTTAACGAGTTGCTGGGAGTGCTAGAACAGGAGCGGTTTCCCGCAACTGTAGATGACCTGGCTGTTGTAGTGGCCTCGAAAAGCAGGGCCAGATTAAAATATGAAGCTGAACGTTGTGCCAACCTTGTAGAAGAATGGTGCGAGAGAAAGAAATTAAGGATGGCGGGTTCCAAGACTCAGGCCATCCTCTTGAGAGGTTCGACCGATAGGGCACACCCCATAATAACCTTGGTGATACAAGGTTCAAGAACATGTTCAAGTGAGGAAGTCACCTATCTTGGAATTAATATTGGGGAAAAATTCAACGTGACGCCTCACTTGGATTATTTAAGAAAAAGAATAACCTCAGCCCTTAATGGTCTCAGTCGCATAGGGGAACCCTTTTGGGGCCTTAGATATCCAGCAACTATGTCCGTTTATAAACGAGTAGTTGTTGATATCTTGAGATACACGTCCCCTGCATGGAACCGGAATCTCTCGTACCGTCAGAAGCGCAGGTTGGCAACAATCCAGCGGATGGCCCTGCTTAGAGTAACCAGATCATACAGAACTGTGTCCTATGAGGCGGTGCAGGTCTTAGGAGGAGGTATTCCTCTCGACCTCCTCCTGCGGGAAGACCTTTATCGGCACAACATTAAGAGGGATGGCTTGGCATATTTACCAGCAAACATTCGGGAAAGGATTTATGATGACCCCAGAAGATGGAAGATGATTCCCCGAGAGGATACATTGGAACAATGGAATCGGCGATGGGTGCCAACCCAAACGGGTCCACACTAAGAAAATTCTTTCCCACCATTAAATCGCGCTTAGAAAAGAAATGGGTCCTCCCGGACTACTGGGTCTCACAGATCCTCACGGGGTATGGGGGTTTCAGAGCCAAACTTTTTAAACATGGTAAAAATATCGTTCCTTATGCCCTACTTGTGGAGTATCTGAAACCGCTGAGCACATCCTTGTAGCCTGCACCAGCTATGAGGCATTGAGGGCCAAATTAATGAGGGATACAGGGCTTTTCGTTCTAACAGAAAGACAATTATTCAAACTGATGTCTGAACAAAACTACCCGCACTTTAAAAGTTTTGTATGCGGGTGGAAAAAAACTGTGGGTCCAACCCACTTCTCCCTGGGCAGGCGTGAAGAAGCAGTACCTGGAAGGCCGCTGATTAGGACAGGGGAAGAAGATGGAGGACGATGAAATAAGAGACAAAATTATGAAGTAAGCTGTGTGCACAGCAATTTAAAAATGTAAAAACATAAACTTGCAGCAGTGATTTGTTATGCAATGTGTATCAAATCACTGCTGCGAATTCCCGTATTGTCTTAAAGGCAGGGTAGGAAGGAAAAAATAAAAATAAAATTATATATATATAATAGTATGCTCACACATATTTAATAATATGCTCACACAATATAGTAACTTTTTCTGTGCTTACAAACATGGACCTTTCCACGGAAAGTTTTGTGATGAAACAACAGCAAGAACAGCAAC